GGCCCCTGCCGCAGCCCGACTTGGCCGGCGACGAGGACGGGGCGCTGGGCGCAGGGGTGGCTGAAGGCTCCGAAGACTGCGGGCCAGAACGCAGGGCGACGGCCCCGGCGATGGCCCCGGCGCCGCCTCTGGGCGCGGAGGTCGGACCGTTGCGGAAAGCTAAGAGCTCCCGACGGAACGCGTGGGGGAACCTTTCCTACGCCGACCTCATCACCAAAGCCATCGAGAGCGCCCCGGACAAGAGACTCACGCTCTCGCAGATCTACGACTGGATGGTCCGCTACGTGCCCTACTTCAAGGATAAAGGCGACAGCAACAGCTCAGCCGGCTGGAAGGTGGGGGCGTCCGGGTTCTGGGCAGGCCACGGGGAGGGAGGCTCTGGAATACCCCTAGGGGTCTTGGAGTGCGCGTCCAGGGCGTGGGGCAGGTCAGTTGACCGGGGAGGAGGGGCGTACTAGCTGTAGCTGTATTCATTTATGTCCCCTAGGAAGGATGCGCGGGATTGAAGGTCTGGTAGGGTAACAAGGGATTACCTTTTTGAGATTTCCCAGAAGAATATCCCTAGCCTGTCCTTGAGGGCATAGCAGCATAACTCATGTCCAGGCCACAGACACGGGGGAGCCCCCTTCGCTTTTTGTGACTTGTTTCACCCTCTCCATTAGGGCACCCGCTTGAAAGAGCTGGAGTCGTGACCTGGGGCTCCTGTCTGCTTTCCCTCCCAAATCTCCCTTGCCCTTCCTGGAGCTGGCCCCATAATGAAGCGTGCTAACAGACCATGAGTCCTCAGTTCTTTCTATGGTGTCAAGAGTTCATCTTGGAGCACCAACTAGACGGGGTAAAACGCACGGCAGGTCACCTGAGATGAGTTCTTCATCCGGCAGGTGTTGTCAGCCCCTTCCCCGGCACAGCATGGGTGGGGGCTGCTTGGTAATCCCTGCTGGTACTTGAGGGAAGGGCGTTGAGGCCTGGGCGTCTATCCCTGCCCACTCTAGGCAACTTATCTCCCACCTCCTTGGCTTCCTGGGCCCAGATGCACTTAAGGAGCGAGGTACCCCTGAGGGTCCTCAGTGGCCGGCTGTGGAAAGGGGAGGGCCATATTGGGAGAAGACTTCGATGGGGGTCTTCACTGGGTTTTAGCTTCTAGACCCAGCTCTTCTTCTGGCCATCTGGTTGGGAAATGGGGCTAGCTTATGCATTTGGGGGTGAGGAGACTTTAGGGGACCACTTGTGGGACAGGAGGGCCACTATGAGGAAGACATGTCTGTGTCCAGAGATGGGGCTGTGCAGGATGTTGACTGGCAGCAGGGTCCGAGGAGAAGGGCAGGGGCTGTGGCCATGCATTGCTCCAGATGCACCTGGCTGTCCTGGGAGCCCACAGCTCTTGGATGGTGGTGTGCTGGCATCTTCTTCATCTCTCCTTGATCATTATGGGGCAGGGACACAGGGCAGAAAAGTAGACCTGAGTCTCATCCCATCAATTCTCCAGTCCCCCATAGCTCAGTTCCCACCAGCATACAACTTCCTCTCAAGTATGTCCTGCCCTTGGACTTGCTTCCCTTGTTTCCTGAGTCCACCTTCCTCTCCTTCCTGGAGATGCAGCCCCTATCCTCAGGGTCACAGAGTCCCAGTGCCTCCTCCGGGAAGTCTTCCCTAACCTGCGGTAGCTAACTCAGGACTCACCATTTTTTTCTGGCCCCGAGGCATGCATTGTGGATCAACCATGTGTGTCTCACTTCGCTCTCCCTCCCTCCCTCCTACGCCTTTGAAAGCCAATGTCAGGGTTGTTCTGTACCCACGGCACCTTATAGAGAGTCTGGCCCAAGAAGCCATCAGTATGTGTGTAGTGAGAGCAAAGATATGAGTAGGTGGTTCAGAGGGTGTGAACTGGGAAAGAATACCCGGACCAGAGTAGAAAAGGGGGGCTTCCTGGAAGAGGCAGAGGCTCCAACAGGTTTGGATGGATGATGGAGACCGGGGAAAGATGGAAGCAAGCACTTGAAACTAGGAGCCAGGAGCCAATTGCAGTTCACTGAGCAAGCATGTTGGGGCTAAGCTCTTCTTCTATCTTTAAAGTGCTCAGTAACCTGCGAGCTGAGTGTTACTATAACCATTTACAGGGGAGGGCTCTGAGGTCCAGAGCACGAAAGTCAACTTGCCCACAGGTAGAAAATGGGCAAGTTGAATTCCAGCCCGGGTGTGTCACCTCTCCAGGTCCCACCAAGCCTCTGGAAATAGTCTTGCTGCCACTGGTGAGCCAGCAGGGGTGGATATAAATCGTAGAATGTGATGGCAGTGTGCTCGGAGAGAATTGAGCCCCGTGAGTTCATTTCTCAAACTGTGAGACTGAGGCCCTGTGGGGTGATAGGACTCTCTTTCCTGAGGGTGTCAGGAAGCAGCAGGCCCTGGACAAGGGTCCAAGTCTCCTGTCTGCCCACTGCATGCAATTCCCACTGCACCACACTGCTGGGGACACACTGGCCCTCTCTGTGCCTCACTCACAGTCCTGGACTGGGGCACTGGGTGAGCAGCCCCAAGCTTAGACTCCTGCTCCTGGTCCTGGCAGAAAGCACCCAGACTCTGGAGGGAATCTAACTGATGCTGTCTCTTGCGTGGCTGTCCTCTGCCTCCCCCCCTTTACTCCCACAAGGTGCCTCCTTTTCTTTTCATTCCTAGAACTTCCTGCCCTTGAACCCCTTCTGGCACACAAGTCAATTCCTGCAGAGACCTGGAGGAGGCGCTGTCTCCAGCTCTCATCTAATCTCAGCTTGACCAAGGCTGGGTACACCTCAGGTGCCAGGACCAAGGATCCATTATTCCTTCATCCCTTTCATCCCGCCACGAAAGTGTTGTCGTTGAAGCCCCGAGGGGTACCAAACCTTGATTCCATGGGGGTGGGGACGTTCACTATGACTCCTTAAGGGAACCTTCTTCAGGATGCATTGCTTTGGGCAGCTTCCACATCCAGACCCTGTGTTTTGAGACAGGAAAGACTGGTGGGTGGGGCGGGGACTGGGGAAAGTGGGTTCCATATTCTAGGGAATCTGATGTTCCCTCACAGAGGAGGTTCCATTTGATCTGAGCTGTCTTCTTGATTAGGGAAAACTGGGGAGATAGTTTTGTGAGGGGTGCAATGACTATGTTCAAACGCATTGAGTAGAAACTGTGCCTTCTGGATTTGGGGGTACTTTGCAGTTGCAGACTGGAACCTAGGGCTCTCAGACTGGCAGGAAAGTGGTTCTGGAAAGGTGAAGGGGTCCCAGTGCTGCGAAAGACAGCATCAGGCTCAGACCACCCAAACCAGACAGAGACCTGGAGAGTTAGGACTACTTAGGGTTCCATCAAAAGGGCCGATCGGGGTCCTCTGGGGACAGAGAGAATGGAGCCTGGGCTCAGGGCTTGCCAGGAGTGTAGTGGACCAAGAGCTGTGATTCTGAGTAGAACCTCCCATTCCGGCCCAGCTGCTCCATAAACTCCACATTCCCTTGGCCCTGGCCTCTTACAGGAAGCCTTCCTGGCTGCACGGTCCTGCCGTTTCTTCCACTGAACGCCTCTGGAGTTGTTCAACTCCTTTTGTGTTTCCTGGCTGCCAGTCCTTGGGGAGCTCCCAGGCCAGGCCTGGGCGCCTCCCATTTCTGTCCCTAGGCCCAGAGGGGAGGAGCCCAGTGGATGGGGACTTCCCCACTCCCCCAGGGGCTGAAACAGCCTTGCTGCTGAGGGGTGGGATCAGAAAGCGGGTGCTGGCCCCATCTGGCCTAGGCCTGGCCCTGTAAGTTCCAGGTGGGGCGGGTCTTGAATGAGGGGCTGATCCCAGAGGCCAGCAGCAGGGTCCTGCGCTTAGACCTGAGCGGTGATTTGGAGAGTTGTGCCCCCTCCCCCCAGCCCGCTCCACCAGGGCGCCTTCCCCCTCCTTTGTCCTCGGGGATCCCCAGCCCCAAGGGCTTGTGGGGGTGCGAGAGGAGGCGGTGTGAGCCCCGATTGGGGGGGTGTCCTCACCCCCCTCACTGCACGAGCGAGGGGCTGGCAGCTGCCCGCCTCCTGGGCACGAGCCCGTGCCAGCCGCTCCTGGCACAGTTGCTGGCACGCCCGGCAGACTCCCACGACCACCTGCTCACACCCACCCACGAGCGCTGGCGCGCTGCGGGCCCTTCCGGCTTCCCGGGCCTCCCGGCGCCCCTCCCCCGACGCCGTGCCCGGAGCCCCCTCCCCAATTTTTAGCTCCTCACTAGACTGGCCCTAGGCGACCCCAGGCCCCCACCCCGCGCAAGTTGGGGAGTCTCGGGGTGGGGCTTCCGGGGACCTCAGGGGTTGCCGCTCCTCGGGGGAAGCGGGGCCGGGAGGCAGCAGACAGACCGACAGACAGGGTGAGGGCCCCGCCTGCCACCTGGCGCCGCTCCAGCGGGACGATGGCGGGCAGCGCCGTGCCAGGCGGTAATTGCAGACAGACTAATTTAAAGAGATGAGACGGTTATTTTTAACTCGCGTTAAGGTAATGAACGGCGCGGGGGGTTTGTGGGTTCGAAAGTTCATCGCCCTTCAGCCCCCACTTAATGCGGGTCGGGGGCTCTCTGCAGACCTTGAGGGCTCCAGCCTCCGGACTTACTCTGGTGCAGCGTTGAGGGGAATCGAGGAACTGAGAAGCAGGGAGGCCCTGCCAGAGTACCGGACTAGTGAGACCCATGCACCAAACACAGGTCCCACCGGATTCTCACCACTACCCTCTTTCCAGATGTGGAAATGACTTGTCTTGAGGTCGCATATCTAGCATATACTAGTCTTAAGTGTTGGAACTCAATTCTAACCCTCAGACGCCAGCATTTTCTGTGCCATTACGTAGGTCCGGGGGTTCCTTAGCTGTTGCTGGGAAGGGTTTGGATCTGGAAAGGGTTGGAGCGCACCTTCTCCTGTGTTTGAGTGGCAGCTGGTGATAGCCATCATCTGAGGTTTGAGGGTAGTCAGGAACTGGAAGTGGCAGTGAGCTTCTGGGGTAAAGATGCTTCCCTGACCTCTTAACAGACTTATCAGCTCCTCCCTATGCCTGCCTTGGCCCTGTCCCCCACTTAGGGGCTGAGTGACTAGGAAACAGAGGAGGATGGGGCTGATACCTCCCCATAAGAGCCCTGTCTACCTCCAGGTCACATTTTGGATCACTGGAGAAGTTAAAGAGTATAAGGCTGGATGCCAGTCATGCTTAGCCCCCTCTAACCCATTCCCCTCTGGACTGCCATTCAGGGGCAAGATACATCGTCTTAGCCTGGAAAGACCCTTTTTTTCTGGTGGGCAGTGTGCCCTGAAGCATCACCCACTCTGTCCAGGTGTAACCCTTTGTGGTCACTTG